GGGGGGGGGGGGGGGGGGGGGGGGGGGGGGGGGGGGGGGGGGGGGGGGGGGGTAGGGGCCTTCGGGCGCCGATGATGATGCGAGCCAAGGCGGAAGGCACGGGCCACATCGAGAGGGCCGAGGCTTCTCAGGGTCATGACGTGGACATTAGCAGCAGCAGCAGCGGGTTGGAGGACGACATGGCGGGTCGTGGCGGTGCTTCCGGGGGGTGAGGTGGAGGCCCCCCTCACCCGGGACCGCCTGGCGGCCACCTGCCCGCCTACCCCGTCCGGCAGCAAGGTTATCGTTACAGTGCCTACCCCCCTAACCTCTACCACCCCCCCGGGGAACGAGCCACCCATCCATGCCGCTGATCCCCGAAAGAGGAGTGAGACATGAAACGAGTTGGGCCACAACCATCCGTGTTGCCCGTCGCGGCAGGCCATCTGGCATGTCTGCATGTAACGCGCAACGCCGGCGCCCTGCCGTTGGACGCAGGCAGCGGCTCCCCCGTGGGCTCACTCCTGCGGGCAGGCCAACCGCGGTACAGCCGTGCGGCGGCGAGGAATATTGGCAGCACGAGACCGGAGCAGACGAGCCAAGGATGGGTGGTGACGCACGCGACTCGTTGTTTATCAACACAGCAACACCTTCCCCCCTCCCGCTGAGCCGCCGCAAACCCCCGCCCCACACGCTCCTCCCGCGCCCTCAAACTGGAGCAACTCCATCGACATGGGGGGGGNGGGGGGGGGGGGGGATGCGTGGTTATTGCGGCCATGTTAATTGAGGCGAGTGTGAGAAAGGTGTGACGGGGCGTGAGGGGTTCGCCCTGATGAGCATGCTGCCTGTTGTGGCAGATGAATTGGCATAAGAAAAATGACTTTTTGACTCAGGCGCCACAAACCACACGGCTGGAAACTCGTCGGTCAAGAATGACACGTTAGAGCCGGCCCCTGGTAGCGAGAGGGTTCAAACTGGCTGTAGCTACACCATGCGGGCGTTGGCTATTGGTAGTCTAAAGTAGTCATAGCCAATACCTGAATAGCGTAACCATCGCCAACTTGGACCCTCTCGCCACCAGGGGGGGGGGCGCAATCGTGGCATACATGCCCGACTCATTTCCGGCCGTGTGATTTGTGGCACCTGAGTCAACAAGCCGTTTATCTTCTGCTGCTTTTGCCGGAACAGGCATCATGTTGACCAGAGCCAACCCCTCACACCCCCGTCACACCTTTCTCACATTCGCCTGATAACAGCCGAACTGCGCACGGATGCAAATTCCCCCTTTCGATGGAGGTGCTCCCGCTGAGGGCACGGGAGAAGCGAAGCGTATGGGGCTGGGGGTTGGCTGCTGCTGAACGGGGGGGGGAGGTGCTACCTGCCACCGTTGCTGAAGTTCTTGTTTTTGGGGCTGGTGTTGATAGGCAAACCAGTCGGGTGCGTCGTCACCTATCTTTGGCTCGCTGTACGTTGCTGCTCCGGTCTCAAACTGCCAGTATTCCTCCAACTGTACGCTACCAACCTCTGCATCTGTGACCTCTGATCTTCACAACAGCTCCACCCTGGCTACATTTCTTGGTTGAGTGCGGTATGTATAAACGGTGTTTGTGCCCCCGGTGTGCCGAGCACATTTCTGGTGTGACCCCCTCTGTAGGGTTTCTGCCCGCTGCAATCAGCGAGGTTCCTTCGACGGTATCAGCATTCCCGCTGCTATCAGCGAAGTACCTACGGCTGGTGTCTCAGGAGGGTTATCCCTTTCACGGGATTCCGCAGTCTTGGAAAACATGCCATTGACCGCGGTGGCCGGGCTGCAACGACCCAATCTTGACGTACTTCAGGATGGTGCATCTGAGGATGATTTTTTCCCTGCCCCCTTTACGGGGACCCCCCCCGGTGTTTGCCATCAGGGTTGGATTTTCGTCGCTTGGCAACGATGTTGTAAAACAAGCCGCCCCTCGCGGTGTTTGTCATCTGGGTTGGGTTTTCGTCGCTTGGCAACGACGTTGTAAAACAAGCCGCCCCCCC